AAATATTGATTCATGACATAAATAGCAAAATAATAGCTGTTTCATTTGTTTCAACCCTTTTGATAATAAAAACATAAGTTTATATCCATTGAAACTGAAATTCCAATTCAACTGAATATTACACCCATTGTGAACTTCATTAATTCTCTTTAAAATCAGGTTTAAATGGCCTACAATAATTGAATATCTATTTCATTTAGACACTCACTAGATAATAAAAATAAATTTTATGAAGATAAAATATATTGTTCACTATAATTCACTACTTGTGTTTTAAACCAAAATAACATATTCAAGTAGAATCTTGGATACAGTATACTATGGCAAATTAGTAACAAGGGTTTATTTTTCTTAGAGCACTCATAATGATTCCACATATGTCTGCCTCACTAGGTCATTTACTTAAATTGAATTTCTTAGGCAATGTTTTTAAACCTCATAAAGTTTTAAAAATCCAGCTGAAATGGGCAATTTTTTTTCTAATGGCCTTAACAGATCAACTTTCTTCAGTTTTCTCTGTAATACCCCACCCCCACCCTGCTCATAAACATAGTGTATTAGTCCATTTTTACACTGCTATAAAGAACTACCTGAAACTTGGTAATTTATGAAAAGGTTTAATTGACTCCCATTTCCACAGGCTGTACAGGAAGCATGGCCAAGAGGCCTCAGGAAACTTACAATCATAGCAGAAGAGGAAGAGGGAAAGGAAGGGGAAAGTGCCACACACTTTTGAACCATCAGATCTCATGAGAACTCACTCACTATCACAAGAACAGCAAGGGGGAAGTCTGCCCCATGATTCAGTCACCTCCCACCAAGTCCCTCCTCCAACACATGGGGATTACAATTTGAGATCAGATCTGGGTGAGAACACAGAGTCAAATCATATCATTCTTCCCCTGGCCCCTCCCAAATCTCATGTCCTTTTCACATTTCAAAACCAATCATGCATTCCCAACAGTCCCCCAAAGTCTTAACTCATCCCAGCATTAACTCAAAAGTCCAAGTCCAAAGTCTCATCTGAGACAAGACAGATCCTTTCAGCCTATGAGCCTGTAAAATAAAAAACACGTTAGTTACTTCCATACAATGGGGTTACAGGTATTAGGTAAATGTTCCCACTCAAAAAGGGAGACATCGGCCAAAACCAAGTGGCTACAGGCCCCATGCAAGACTGAAATCCAGCAGGGCCATCGTTAAATTCTAAGGCTCCAAAATAATCTCCTTTGACTCCATGTCTCACCTCTAGGGCACACTGATAAAGGGGTGTGCTCCCATGGCCTTGGGCAGCTCCATTCCTGTGGCTCTGCAAGATACAGCCCCCAAGGCTGCTTTCATGGGCTGGCATTGAGTGCCTGCAGCTTTCCCAGGCTCACGGTGCAAGCTTTTGGTGGATCCACCATTCTGGGGTCTGGAAGAGAGTGGCCCCTTCTCACAGCTCCACTAAGCAGTGTCCCAGTGAGGATTCTGTTTGGGGGCTCCAACCCCTCATTTTCCCTCCACAATGCTCCAGTAGAGGTTCTCCATGAGGTCTCCACCACTGCAGCAGACTTCTGCCTGGACATCCAGGCATTTCCATAAATCCTCTGAAATCTAGGTGGAGGTTCCCAAACCTCAACTTCTTGCTTTCTGCACACCTTCAGGCCCAACACCATGTAGATGCCACCAAGGCTTGGGACTTGCACCCTCTGAAGCCACAGCCTGAGCTGTACCTTGGCCCCTTTTAGCCACAGCTGGGGCTGAAGTGGCTGGAACACAGGATGCCATGTCCCAAGGCTGCACAGAGCAGCTAGGCCCTAGGCCTTGCCCATGAAACCATTTTTTTTCCTCCTATGCCTCTGGGCCTGTGAGGGAAGGGGCTGCGATCAAGGTCCCCGAAATGCCCTGGAGACATTTCCCCCTTGTCCTGGCTATTAACATTCGGCTCCTCTTTAGTTATGGAAATTTCTGCAGCAGGCTTGAATTCCTCCCCAGAAAATGGATCTTTCTTTTCTACCACATGGTCACCGTTTTAAATATAAGTTCCAGTTTCACGTCATCTTTTTGTTCATGCATGAGCATACACTTTAAGAAACAGCCAGATCAATTCTTGAAAGCTTTGCTGCTTAGAAACTTCTGCCAAATACCCTAAATCATCCCTCTTGAGTTCAAAGTTCCACAGATCTCTAGGGCAGACGCCAAACACCTCCAGTCTCCTTGCTAAAGCAAAGCAAGAGTGACCTTTAATCCAGTTCCCAATAAGTTCCTCATGTCCATCTGAGACCTCCTCAGCCTGGACTTCATTGCCCATATTATTGTCAGCATTTTGGTCAAAACCTTTCAACAAGTCTCTAGGAAGTTCCAAACTTTCCCACATCTTTCTTTCTTCTTCTGAGCCCTCCAATCTGTTTCAACCTCTGCATGTTACCCAGTTCCAAAGTTGCTTCCATATTTTCAGCTATCTTTATAGCAGTCCCCCACTTTCCTGGTAGCAATGTTCTGTATTAGTTCATTCTCACACTGCTATAAAGAACTACCTGAGCCTGGGTAATTTATGAAGAAAAGAGGTTTAATTGATTCACAGTTCTACAGGCTGTACGGGAAGCATGGCTAGGAGGCCACAGCAAACCTGTAATCATAGCAAAAGGTAAGGGGAAGCACTACACTTTTAAACCATCAGCTCTCATGAGAATTCACTCACTATCACAAGATCAGCAAGGGAGAAGTCTGCCCCCATGATACAATCACCTCCCATCAGGCCCCTCCTTTGACACATGGGGATTACAATTCAAGATTAGATTTGGGTGGGGACACAGAGCCAAACCATATCACATAGCTATTCTAAAAACTAGTAATACATTTATAAATAAGACAACATTTCTCAAAATCCACTAGTCTTCCACCAGTATTAGGGTTGGAATGTTTGGTTTCCAAATGCTTCTCTTGGTTTTCCTTGAATGTATTCAAACTCTCCTTCTTAAATATTTATCAAGTTCCTCGTCTGTTCCAGGCACCACTGTGTGTCTCTGGTCTCCCACTGATTTAAGTGATGTAAATGATTCTGTCTTTAGTGCTTTTCTTCCTCCACTGGACATTGTTTTCTTGGACAGCTGAATAGGAAATCTGGAATCAGTCCAGATCTTGATCTTGAGCTTCAGACTAAATATCTCTTCCCGTACTTTTCTCAGACACCTTAGCCTCAGCAAAGCAAAAATGGAACTTACCCATCTTCCCCGAATCCTGTTTTTCACTCCTTTTTTCTCTGTTTGTGGCAGCACTGTCCAAGCATTCTCCTCAATTCAACCAGTGATCTTTATTAACCATAATTTAGATTGTGGCACTCACCTGCTTAAAACCCTTTGTAGCCAGGCATGGTGGTTCATGACTGTTATCCCAGCACTCTGGGAGACCGAGTTAGGTGGATCACTTGAGCTCAGGAGTTCAAGACCAGCCCGTGCAAAATGGCCAAATCCTGTCTCTACAAAAAATACAAAAAATTAGGGCATGGTAACACACACCTGTGGTCCTAGCTACCCGGGAGGCTAAGGTGGGAGTATGGCTCAAGCCTGGGAGGTCAAGGTTGCAGTGAACCAAGATCATGCCACTGCACTCCAGCCTTGGTGACAGAGTGAGAGAGTGAGACCACATTTCAAAACAAACAAACAAAAAACCCTTGGGTAGATTCGCATTGCACTTAGAATAAATTCCACCTTCTTACCACAGCCTTCTGCAGTCTAGACTTTGGCTCTCTCCCCAGTCTCATCTCCTATCTCCCTCTTCTGCCTCACTAACCTTGACCACACTAGCTGTCTTTTGCTTATTTCAACGGATGATTTTTTAAATTAAATGGAAAGTAGAAAAATAACCACCACCCTACATATGCATACAAACACACACACACATATTAAAGTTCTCAGGTTGTAAAAACTTGAGTTAAAAATGAAACAATTACTATATAAACTTGATCCAAATTTATACATATTAGAAAAGAAAATGTAATGGTGATCCTCAAAGTCATGCAACTTGTCTAGTGAGTTTACTATTAAGACCTCCATTGTGAAGAACTAATTTCTCAAAATATTTTACTTAATGTCAAGTTGTAGATATTCAAATATGCACTAGAGATGGAAAAAAATTCATTCCACAGATACTCTGGGACATGTTGTGTACCAGATGTGTTATGATGTTCTATGATGTGAGAATAGGAAATAGAAAGAAAAGCCTTTCTTAATTCCACTCTGCATTTTCAGGTACTCTGTAGATCGACACACAGATATGGACAGAATATTCAACATTGATTCTGGAAATGGTTCAATTTTTACATCGAAACTTCTTGACCGAGAAACACTGCTATGGCACAACATTACAGTGATAGCAACAGAAATCAGTAAGTCCTACCTAATACCACTGCTGTCCCCCATTAATAGACTGAGTGTCCCAGCAAGGGCTGGCAGAGCATAACTTGTCACCATGTATTGACAATCCCACTTGATATATATTGAGGGAAAGAGCCCTGGAGTGATTTGCAGTAATGCTTCTTCTATATATGCATTGGCTTATACATAAATGGAGAGGCAACCCTGAAAGTTCTATGGTTTGGAAACAATAAAATGGGAATATATCTCACAAATGAGATTGAATTGGTACTGGGTGGATTTAATTCCAAAAAGCTTATAAATTAGAACATTATATAAACAGCTGAAAAAAAACAGACTCTCAATTAGACATTGCGTGTGGGGGCAAAAGATGAGAGTGGTCAAGTATATTGTAAAATGTGGGCATTGTTTAGAAATTTTTTAGATATCAATTCTCTAGCTTACTATAGAATTTCTATTTCGAAGTCTTTACAGAATTAAGAGATATAAATTATCACTGTTCCATGGTATACCAAAGTGACTAATACAAACCACCAAGTAATCAATAAAATGATTAGAATGAATTTTATGGTAGCCCCCATGAAATTGAAGGCAAAGAACAATAGTGCCAAAAGAATGCTTTAAATAAAATGATTACACACAATGAAAACTAATGTAGTTGGTCAATACAATGTACGGGCTGAAGAATATAAGTGAAAAACCATCTTTAAAATAGAATTTCAATGTTTAAAACTAGGCTTCTAGGCCAGGCGCGGTGGCTCACGCCTGTAATCCCAGCACTTTGGGAGGCCGAGGGGGGCAGATCATGAGGTCAGGAGATCAAGACCATCCTGGCTAACGCGGTGAAACCCCGTCTCTGCTAAAAATACAAAAAAGTTGGCTGGACGTGGTGGCGGGTGCCCGTAGTCCTAGCTACTTGGGAGGCTGAGGCAGGAGAACGGTGTGAACCTGGGAGGCGGAGCTTGCGGTGAGCCGAGATCACTCCACTGCACTCCAGCCTGGGCGACAGAGTGAGACTCAAACTCCAAACAACAACAGCAACAACAACAAAACTAGGCTTCTAAAGTATGGCTCACTTTTTTTTTAGTTTTTGTGTTTAATTTTAAAAGTTCTAAACATTTTTAGCTCACTTTGGGTATCTAGTGTGAAATATTCCTTATCGAATAGTTTATTACATTTGTATTCTCTGTCAATATAACTCATGAGATTTGAAGTGACTACAGGATATTTGGTAGAATAGTAACCAATACGGGCAAAATGAAGCATTGCTTTTAGATAGTGATAAAGACAGCACATTAGAAATTAGGTAGGAATTTGCTCTTCAGAACTTATGTCAAGATTTATCTTGAAGTTCATGTTCATTTATATTAAGGGACTGATGTAGATAGCAAAGACAGAGCATCTTTGAAGTTTTAAAATTATAAAATTCTTTCCCACTGAAAATGGCCATTTTTCCGACAACCACGAAATTTTATTTTTTACCAAAGCAGTCATTTCATAAGTATTTTAAGCTTTGTGCCTAAAAAAATTGTTTTTAAGATTTAATGTTTCTATGACACATTTGAAAGTATTGGTGACTATCTCTTAAAAGTTAGTATTCAGCTACTCTAACTTTCGAAGAATAGTGTGAGTAAAATTTCAGGCATTTTAAAGAATCTTACTGTCTAATCTTCTTAACAACCTTTGATATAACAGAAACCAAAAGCTTGTATAAAACCACCTCCCACTCACCTCAGGGCCTTTCCATATACTGATTCCTCGACCTGAAGAGTCGGAAATATTCACATGGCTTAAATCTTCTCTTCATTCATGTCTCTGGGCAAATGATGTGTCATCAGAGAAGCAGTCCTTGGTCATCATTCTAAGTAACAGCTCTATTTCTTTCAATCCTTTTTACCTACTTAATTTCTCTATAGCATTTACCATCTGATACATTATACATTTATGTGTTTATGGTTTGTCCATCCCCATTACAATAAAGCTGCAGGAAACAGGATCTTTGTTATGTTTCCTAGTGCCCCAACATCCCAAATAGAGGCTGCTATAGATTAGGTATTAGATGCTCCCTAAATACTTACAAAGTGAAAAAACAATAGACATACAAGTGAAGTAAATGAAGAGAGCTGAGGTGATAGATTCTAACTCCTGATTCTTACACCAGGAATCTGTCTTCCATACTGTGCTAAAAGATTACCACAGAAGGCAACCAAAATACTTCATTTATCTCAGGTCTGCAAACACTGATTCCGCTCTATCATTAATTCCAGATGAAAAGCCTGGGCTTTCAGCCTGGGCTTGGAGTCAGACAGATCCAAGTTTGAACCTGGACTTCTCTCTTTACTGTCTCTGTAAACACAGATAAATTGCTTAACTTCTCCATGTCTCAGTTTCCTCTTCTATAAAATGGGGGCAGTAACTCTGTCTATCTCAGAAGTTTGTGAACATTAAATAACATAATATAGCAAAGTGTTTAGCATGACATCTTGCTCTCGTTCAGCACTCAAACTAAAACACTAAGACCAATAACTATCCTTTGGTCTTCTGGTGGTTCATTCATTTTCCCTCTTCTTCCTTTTGTCCATATGCTCCCCATCAGCCTGCTTCCTTGAAAATCTACCTTTAAAATGCCTTTCTTGGTTTTGTGTTATCTTAAGGTTTATTATACAGTTGAACTATATCAACACAAGTAGCTTTGTCACCCATATATCTCTAACAGGTGCATCCAACTCCAGATGTACCAAATAATCAAATTCTACTTTTTGTGACCACACTGATACTTAATGCCCAGTAGTACAGTAGCTTGGGGAATCTGTGCATGAATGAGAATGAAGAAGTTGAGTGGATGTTGTCTAAAGGGAATCGGCAATCAACATGTAAATGGCTTTTTCTTTCTTTTTGGAATGTGACAGATAATCCAAAGCAAAGTAGTCGAGTACCTCTATATATTAAAGTTCTAGATGTCAATGACAACGCCCCAGAATTTGCTGAGTTCTATGAAACTTTTGTCTGTGAAAAAGCAAAGGCAGATCAGGTGAGTTTCATTAAAAAGTACATTCAAGTTGAACGTCAGATTAATTTAGATCTTCTAATCATTGAGATGATTCACAGAGCTGAAGGAGAGTTATGAATTATCTATGAAGTGAATGCCACGGAAATTAATACTATAAATAAGAACCAGGACTTACATATGAGAACTAACAGTTTCGAAGAACTGGAAGTTCATCAAAGACTGAGGCTGATTCCAAATTGATCTTAAGTTTTTATTAAAATAGATTAGTCACAGCTTTATTGGAAAAATCTTTATTGGTGAACAGATAGTTTAATTACCATATGTACTTGAAGTAATAACTAGAACATACTTTATAATTGCCTATAATTCATTATTTCACTTATTTACATTGACCATCTGTATAAGTAATACAAATTCATGAATGTTTTCCTATTTTACACATTTGTCCCCATGTGAAATAGGTCTTTGCTGCCAGTGATATAAAAATTATGTTTCAGTTTGTGAAAATAGAAGTACACTGTTAAAGTACACGTGCAGGTAGAAAGCTGAAGTTATCGTGTTCTACATACTTATTTTCTTTTCCATTTTTTGCAAGTTGATAGCTTATGTAATGCTAAGAGTGCATTTCTAGACAGACTGTCCAAAGAGAACTTCTACTTTGTGAAGTGTGATGTTGTCACAGACTATTGGGATATTTTATAGCTTTGCATCACTCAAGGCCAAATGTTTCTCAATCAGGGTGATTTCCTCCCTGGGGATATTTGCAGTATCTTGAGAGAGTTTGATTGTCACACTAGAAGTTGCTACTGATATCGGGTGGGTAGAGGCCAGGGTGGCTGCTTAACATCCTACAATGCACAGGACGTCCTACAGTGTCCCCACAACAAAGAATCATTCCCTGCCCTTTGGCTTTCTAACCCATAATAGAGCAGATTCACTGTACATTACTTAAAGGTTATCATTTTTATACTTAAAATGTTAAATCATTTTGTCAAGCAATTTATTGCAAAACGGTAAGAAACACTTTTGAGTTATCAAAATTTTATGGCAGTGTTCTGGTTTTTATCTTAGTTGATTCAGACCCTGCGTGCTGTTGACAAGGACGACCCTTATAGTGGGCACCAATTTTCATTTTCTTTGGCCCCTGAAGCAGCCAGTGGCTCAAACTTTACCATTCAAGATAACAAAGGTAAATGAGTTCAAGTTACCTTCTCTACCTCCATCTATATCCATACCTGTATCTGTATGTATATGTATGTGTATGTATCTGTATCGATATCTATCTTTTCCCATCACAATTGATTCAATACATGACGCAGTATCCACAAACATTCACCACTCTGCTTTCCGGTTCCAGACAACACGGCGGGAATCTTAACTCGGAAAAATGGCTATAATAGACACGAGATGAGCACCTATCTCTTGCCTGTGGTCATTTCAGACAACGACTACCCAGTTCAAAGCAGCACTGGGACAGTGACTGTCCGGGTCTGTGCATGTGACCACCACGGGAACATGCAGTCCTGCCATGCGGAGGCGCTCATCCACCCCACGGGACTGAGCACGGGGGCTCTGGTTGCCATCCTTCTGTGCATCGTGATCCTACTAGGTAAACTGGTTCTCCCTGCCTCCTATCTCCCCATGGTGAGGGGCTCACACTGTTACTGTGACACTCTAGATTTATCTGCCTCCCCCATTAAGGCATACAGCCTGATCTAGGTGAGTCGAGTTACATACTGAGAATCTGTGCTGTACGATGTGAACTCATTTTTGCTTGCAAATGGCTTTGGGAAATGAACAGATGTGAAACTTGCCCGTGTCTTTGCTTGCCCAGGAATCGTTCCACCGAAAGAATCTCTTGTCTATCAGACTGGGAATGAATCTCGGGGGATTTCAGGGCAACATAAATGTGCTCTTTTCATTTCATTTGTTGTGTAATTTTTTTTACTTGGAAAACATTGTTGTTAAGTGTCTGGCATGGAGTGTATGATGAGGGCCCTTTCTATAAAGGTAAAGTTTAAAGATCTGTGGGAAAGTGGGAAGAGGAGTGTGCTGACTTTTCTCTCATCCTAGAAAAATAAAAGCTACAAAATTTTTTTAACCCAGCAAACTAATGTTGATTTACCATTTAAATGATTACCTTCTTAGCATTGCTCTCTGATTGCCACATGCATAAGGTCTATTTCTCACGCTCAACAATAAATAACTTCTGTGACTGAGGAAATAAGTATGGGGGCCCAAAAGAAATGAATGTAATAAAAATGGAAATCAGGGTCCAGCAATGATTCAAATGAAATTTTTACCCCTAACCAACTAATTAAGCCTACAAGTCAAGCTCAGATTTCTCAACAGGCCCTTGGCTGTTTGTGAACTAAGAAAACAAATATTTGTTAATGCAGCCCTTCCAAAAATAAAAGCAAGATTTGTAAAGCTTGCCTGTATAGTGAAAAGAAAAGGTAAGAAGTTCAGAGTCAACCTGAATTATACAGGGGGAAATACTCTTTTTAAAAAAATGAAGACAGAGTGACTTTGAGAAGAGCAAAAGAGAACCTGCATTTCGCCAAGAACAGAATGCCTAGGGATCCCTGCTCGAGCGCTCCTTCACACTCCACATCAACCCTGCTAACTAGAACAGAAGCCTTGAAACTCAACTGCAGAACTGTGATTCTCTTTGTCAACTAAGACTTGGGGAAAGTATTTTAAGATATGAGCATAAATAAAAACTGACAGTGTGCAAAGACAAATCAGTGTTTCTAATGGTGTGAGTCTGTAACATTGTTTTGGAAGAGAAAGATATGAATGTTCTTTTTGATCAAAAGGGTGATTTTTTTAGAAGCCTTGGATTGGTAGGGCTGTACCCAAGGCACATTCCATGGACTCTTTTTGTCGTCTATGGAAGGAGAGTTAACTCTCATCTGACGGAGGTGATTCTTCCTTTCTATCATCATCTACCCATTATCTCTTCCCCCTTTTCTTCCTTCTACTCAACTCACTGAATCTCCCCCTTTCATTTCCTTCCTCCAATGAACTCACTGTCTCCTCATGACTTCTAATTGGCCTCAGTGCCTCCCACATCTTGTTTAATCTCTTTGGAACTCTGTACCTAATAAAAAAGGAGAAAAAATGGGATTTAGCCTTTGTTAGGTATACACCATAGGTCAGATGCAGTGCAAGATGCTTTACAAAGGTTTTTCTCACCTAATCCTCAGCACCATTTGGTGTATACTTATCTGTACCTTACATATGAAAACTGCAACTCCAAGATGTGAAGTAATGTAGCCAAGTCATGTGTCTAACACGTGGTAAAACTAAAGTTCCCGACCTAAATTTTCTTCCCCAGGCTTGGTGCCTGAAGACTGCACTGTACTTTCTTTTCAAACTTATGAAATGCAGGGTGATTTCCAGGCCGAAAGACAGCCCAAACTTAAAATGTGGCAATTGAAGAAAGTGGAGGAAAATGAAGGAAAGCCACATTGATATAGGAAGAAATCTGGAGTCCAGAAAGTGGATCATATGGTAATGGATATTTTACAAAAATAAAACAACAGTAAAAACAGCTAGACAACTGCTACATCTCATGTCTTATGGTGCCTTAGAGTTTACAAAACTTTCACATTCATGACAGTAAGACTGGGCACTGTGCTATTGATTTTATTTTACAAATAAGAAAACAGGCTTAGAATGGTCAAATCATTTAATTTAACCCAGATCTCTTGACCCTCTAGTTTTACGATGAGATTTGAACACAAATTTGCCCAATTGTCCCTCTATCCCCCCAAAAATCTTACTGCTATCCTCTGGCTTCAAAAGGGTAAGGGAAAAGGGGAGACTCAGTTCCTGCTGAGGGCACCTCATCAGGGCATCACTTTCTAAGAATGTGTTTGCCCCATGTGCTTAGCAATCACATTTTCACTTTATAAAAGTTAGCTCTGAGAGCTCTCCTAGACAGCGATACTCTCAAGAAATTCTGTTCAGATGTGCGTTGGGCTAATAAGAAAAGATATAGGCAGTTTTAGCTGTAGAAGAATTAGACCATGAATAAATGCCTTTGATTTTTTTAATGTGCCCTCTCCCTTCCAGACAGTTGCGCTTTCAGATGTACATAAGACTAAAATAAAAGCTATAGATACCTTAAGCCAGGGAAGAATTAGGAGGTGATAAATGCCTGCCTCTTGCCTTACATGACTGAATGAGCCCATGTACATTAGAGCTTAATTCTTGGAGAGATAGTCGGCTTGATTCTGTTCTCTAATCCCAGTGGATGTCCTTACTTACAACCGTCTGTTTTGCAAATCCATGTCATTGTTCAAACTGACAGCCAGTCTGAAAGGTAGATCATGTGCATCCCTCTGCCCAAAGCCCTGCAGTTCTCTTCATGTCTTTGCTCAAATTATGCAACCTCCCTCCAATAACATATACAAAACTCTGCTGGCTGGGCGCCGTGGTTCACGCCTGTAATCCCAACACTTTGCGAGGCCGAGGCAGGTGGATCACTTGAGATCAGGAGTTCGAGACCAGCCTAATCCAACATGGTGAAACCCCATCTCTACTAAAAATACAAAAATTAGCCAGGTGTGGTTGTGGGCACCTGTAACCCCGGCTACTCAGGAGGTTGAGGCAGGAGAATTGCTTGAACCTGGGAAGCGGAGGTTGTAGTGATCTGAGAGCGTGTCACTGCACTACAGCCTGGGTGACAGAGTAAGGCTCCATTTAAAAAAAAAAAAAACTATGCTGTATGTTCATATGGGCTCCTCAAATATATACAGAAGTATTTTTCTCCACCTTGTTCTGCTCTGCTTTTTCATGTTCATATTGCACTTATCACCTTCTAACAATTTCCTTATTTATTATACATATTGTTTATTTTGTCTCCATCCAACTGTCCCCCACCCTACCCACTCATTCAGTGCCTAGAACCGTACCTGGTACAGAGTAGGCACTACATAAATATTATCAAATGCATGAATGAATAAATACCCTGAATGGGTGCATCAAACAAGGCATCAAGATACTTTCTGGCAGCAAAAGAGGGTGTGTACAACTACAAAACCACACACTTGAAAGGGGCAAAGTTACATTTTCTTTGGAAATAGTCTATACTCCAGACCTGCTTCAAAACATGGCAATTATGAGTGCAGGCTTTTTAGTCGGACCAACCTGGATTTGAATTGCATGTACATGTAACAACTTTAAACTTCAATTTCCTCTTATGTAAAATGGGATTTTAATGATGGTATCTACTTGTAGGGCTATTATGATAATTAAATGAGATTCAGTATGTTAAGCACTTAGTACAGTGCTTAGCACATAGAAAGCTCTCAGTTGGTAACCAATTATTATTAATACTAACGAAATTTTAATATGTAGATACATGGGTGTGCCTACATCTATTCTTATACAGGTAGTTATGTACACTCATTGAAAATACATTATTCTGTAATTCTTATTGCAGTAACTCAGTTTTCGTGGCTCATAAAAATTGGGCCTTGTTGTGGATGAAATAGTAAAGAGACACTACTGTGACTTCCTGTAATACACTCCTCTGCACAAACCCAGTTTAACAATGCACTTTTTGACCTAGATGGCTGTTTTCTCCCTAAGCTTTTACTGTGTTTTTATTTTTTTCACCCATCTGTCCATTTGTAGATAGATGTGTCTCTCTACAAGTAGCCAGCTGTGTTCCACCCAGCCAGCTGTGAAGAAAGATCAGGAGCTATTTAAACACAATTCTTGCTTTGCCTCTAATTTGAGTTAGGAGGGAAAAATCAAAAGAATGAACGTCCCGAGTAACAAACTTATAGAACATGAACCTTTGAGAAATAAAAAATAAAAAATCTCACTTACATGTGTTTATTTCATTTAGCTCAGTCAGAAATAATATGGCATATGGATTCTTACCTGCTTCCTTCAAATTAGCCAATCTCAAAATCCAAAATGGGTTTCTGAATTATATCTGGGTCTCTCCAGGTATTTTCTGGAATAATATTGCTTTATATATAGGAAAGGTATGCAAATATTCAATGTCTACTTTGGGTTTTAAACTAATTTTACACTTTTCTCAGGGAAAAAAAAAAAGGCATAGCGCAAAAGTTATTTCAGATGTGGAGTTATGTAAACCCTTCAACACATTCCCAAAGGTGCCAGTCTTGTCCTTGTAACCAGTTTCAGAGCATTTTAGGTGTTCAGCATAATTTGCACCCTGATTGCAGTACTTTCACTGAGGCCGAGCTTCTTTTTTTTATCATTTTTTTTCCTTACCTTGAAACAAGTTTGCCATTTCAAAGTAAAAAGGAACTACTGCCAAAATGTGATGGTGTTTTATCCTCTACCTAAATTATAATCTTCTTTCAAATATTTACTCCATTTTATGGGTCCCGGTTTGATCATGGATGGAGGCAAGTGCATCCTTAAAGAAATAAAAGTTGAGTCTGCGTTTTCTAGAGAACTTTTAAAACTTCACATTTGAGCACGGTGTTTCTTCCTGACATTAATTGGGCAGCAAATTAACTTTCCCTTCCCTTTCTGTTTTGTTTTCTGCTTCCAGTGACAGTGGTGCTGTTTGCAGCTCTGAGGCGGCAGCGAAAAAAAGAGCCTTTGATCATTTCCAAAGAGGACATCAGAGATAACATTGTCAGTTACAACGACGAAGGTGGTGGAGAGGAGGACACCCAGGCTTTTGATATCGGCACCCTGAGGAATCCTGAAGCCATAGAGGACAACAAATTACGAAGGGACATTGTGCCTGAAGCCCTTTTTCTACCCCGACGGACTCCAACAGCTCGCGACAACACCGATGTCAGAGATTTCATTAACCAAAGGTTAAAGGAAAATGACACGGATCCCACTGCCCCGCCATACGACTCCTTGGCCACTTACGCCTATGAAGGCACTGGCTCTGTGGCGGATTCCCTGAGCTCGCTGGAGTCAGTGACCACGGATGGAGATCAAGACTATGATTACCTTAGTGACTGGGGACCTCGATTCAAAAAGCTTGCAGATATGTATGGAGGAGTGGACAGTGACAAAGACTCCTAATCTGTTGCCTTTTTCATTTTCCAATACGACACTGAAATATGTGAAGTGGCTATTTCTTTATATTTATCCACTACTACGTGAAGGGTTCTCTGTTCTACCCGTTCCAAAAGCCAATGGCTGCAGTCCCTGTGGATCCAATGTTAGAGACTTTTTTCTAGTACACTTTTATGAGCTTCCAAGGGGCCAATTTTTATTTTTTAGTGCATCCAGTTAACCAAGTCAGCCCAACAGGCAGGTGCCGGAGGGGAGGACAGGGAACAGTATATCCACTTGTTCTCAGGGCAATGTGCCCACTTCCGCTGGCCTGGTGTTTTACTACACTCCATGTCAGGTCAGCCAACTGCCCTAACTGTACATTTCACAGGCTAATGGATAAAGGACTGTGCTTTACAGATAAAAATATCATCACAGTAAAAGAAATGAGGGCATATGGGCTCACAAGGAGATAAACTACATAGGGGTGTTTATTTGTGTCACAAAGAATTTAAAATAACACTCGCCCATCCTATTTGTTCTTCAAGAACTTTCTCTGGCATCAACTACTATTCAAAACCTCAAATCCACCCATATGTTAAAATGCTCATTACTCTTAAAGAATAGAAGCAAATTAAACGGTAACATCCAAAAACAACCACAAACCTAGTACGACTTCATTCCTTCCACTAACTCATAGTTTGTTATATCCTAGACTAGACATGCGAAAGTTTGCCTTTGTACCATATAAAGGGGGAGGGAAATAGCTAATAATGTTAACAAAGGAAATATATTTTAGCATACATTAAAAGTTTTGGCCACCACATGTATCACGGGTCACTTGAAATTCTTTCAGCTATCAGTAGGCTAACGCCAAAATTGTCTAAAAATTCTTGAAAGAATTTTCCTGAGACAAATTTTAACTTCTTGTCTATAGTTGTCAGTATCATTCCACTATACTGTACATGAAAGTAGCAGTGTGAAGTACAATAATTCAGATTCTTCATATCCTTCTTACACGACTAAGTTGAATTAGTAAAGTTAGATTAAATAAAACTTAAATCTCACTCTAGGAGTTCAGTGGAGAGGTTAGATCCAGCCACACTTGAACCTAATACCCTGCTCTTGACATCTGGAAACCTCTACATATTTATATAACTTGATACATTTGGATAAACAACATTGAGATTATGATGAAAACCTACATATTCCATGTTTGGAAGACCTTTGCAAAGGGAAAATTGGATTCCCTTAAACAAAAGTGTTTAAGATTGTAATTAAAATGATAGTTGATTTTCAAAAGCAGTAATTTTTTTCATTGTTTTTAACTTTGCTTTCATGACCACCCTGCCATCCTTGACTTCGAACTAATGATAAAGTAATGGTCTCAAACTATGACAGAAAAGTAATGTAAAATCCATGCAATCTATTATTTCTCTAATTATGCAATTAGCCTCATAGTCAGTTATTATCCAGAGGACCCAATTGAACTGAACTAATCCTTCTGGCAGATTCAAATCGTTTATTTCACATGGCTGTTCTAATGGCATTTATCATTAGAATCTTACCTTGTGCAGTCATCAGAAATTCCAATGTACTATAATGAAAACATCCTTGTTTCGAAAACCTAAAAGACAGGCTCTGTATATATATACACTTAAGAATATGCTGACTTCACTTATTAGTCTTAGGGATTTATTTTCAATTAATATTAATTTTCTATGAATAATTTTAGTGTCATTTCCATTTGGGGATGTTGTCATATCAGTACATATTTTCTGTTTGGAAACACACTGTTGTTTAGTTAAGTTTTAAATAGGCATATTACCCAAGAAGTAAAGATGGAAACTTTAAAAGAAGAGAAATGTAGTATTTTGGGTTACCTGATTAGAGTGAAAATTTTGTACAACCATATTATTCCTTGTATCTTCTGAATGGTTTCCAATTTTATAATGGACTGCCCTATATAGTAACAAGTATTTCATGCTTGAGCTATTTCCTGCTTTCAGGGTTTTTTTTTTTTTTTCTAGTTCTTCATACACACACGCACGTGCGCACATGCGCGCGCTAATGCAAACAAAAGGCTATGTGAGTTCTTCACTCTAATGAATTGATATGTATCATAGTCACAGGTGAGTGTTGAAAAAAACTTAGTAAAGTTAGAAGCTAGTTATTCATAGCAATAGAACAGCACCTTAATCACACGATTTACTGTAAAATTAAAGAGGTCTCTATCCTTATGTTTCATGTCATGTAACAAATTGAATCAAGGAAGATAGTCCTGTAAAAAGAAAGGTATCATCTGAAGTTGAGGATTGACACTAGCAATTTCCAATGTTTAAGGGTAAGGTCTGCGTTCTCCTAATAAGTGAAAGGAAGTAGTTCTATAGTGGAATATCTGAGATGTAATTGGCAAGGTCTTTTATCCCTCCCTGAAGATGACACAGCATACCAAGAACAGGTTAATGTGACTACTTATGGAAATAACTTTAATCTCTTATCACAAAAGCTGATGATGAAGTAAATTTATAGGAAATTGGATAATTTGAGACTGGGGCTAAATATTTAGTACCAGGATATTGCAAGTATCAAGTTGGAGTGACATTTTCCTATAATTCAGATTCTTTGACATTGTGGAACCAATAAGAGCCATAGTTCCATCATTCTCCAGCTTCATCTCACTTCCTTCCCACCTCACCTGAGTATCAGGTCAAACATCAGTGCATGCGCAGGTTTTTTTTTTTTTAATTGCTATGTCCCAGGCAACATGAAAGATTGCTGGAGAAAAAAATAATTTTCAGCTCAGTTTTTTCATTGTCTGTTTCCTAATTTTAGATGTTGGTGATGGGAAAGATGGAAGGAGAGTGGGAAGAAGTAAAATTTTAATATTTGTTTCAATCACTGAGAAACGAAAATTCATTAAACATAACCAGATTGCTTTTGTGGGTTGTTTCAAGGACATTGAGAGCTTTCTGATGATATATTTTTACCCTCTATTCAAAAGCAAGAGTTCCTTTAAACTACTAAGATGTTCCCTAGAATAAGCTGAATTTTAAAAAAACATTAAGCCATTGTTTAAAGCCCCTTCACTTCCTGGCCACTTTCTTCTGAAAGGTCTAAAAAACAGTTGTGCCCACCCAAATAAATAAATAAAACAAACGGGAAAGAAGCAAATATTATTCCATAGAACCACAAGAGAGGGAACCCGAGCACACTAAATAGATGTTTCTTTCAGCACTTTCCTGCCTTTACAGTTTGGGTCCATAAAGGGATGTTCAGCAATGAAATTACTCCCTTTTCAGATGGAACAAAACCTGCCCATTTAATTTTAACTCAGTTTAACATGTGGTTTAGTTTTTATTTTCAGCTCCCAAAAAGTTGTGCAGAAAGTACTTAAAAATTGAATCTGTATCTTAGAGGCATCCAAATTTTATGAATCCAAATTAACTTTAGAATGTTTCCATTACTTTCACTTTTACATACATAGATTTTCAATGTCCTGATTGGCTGAACAATATTTCACATCAAATGCTTTGCCTGGTAATAGATATCCCATTGGGGATAATGGTGTGTAAACTATGACTTGGACAATTCTGTATACTCAAGCACCATAAAAAGTATGCAGTTGAAAAGAAAGATCAAAGTTGATTCCTGGGTGCAATATTCCTGATAAATATTTACATCAGGTACTCATCCTTATCAGCTAAATTCATTTTCACCAGGAACAGACCACCAAATAAATTATTTTATCCTAATAACTAGTTTTGAAGCAGTGTAATTACTCTGGAAAAAGGCTCTAAAAAGTCATGATTCCCCCACTATTTTGAAATGTATACTCTAACAAGGATCATTTTAGTGTAATCTTAATTTTTATGTTTTATCAAGATGAAATCTTGTTTGAATTGTGACATTATAAAAGGGGACTCAAAATCCAAGCAGTCTACTGTGTTTAAATTAACACCACAACCTTCCTTATCAGATTATAAGCGTAGAAACATTAACACTTGGCATGTGAATCTTCAGGAAAATGAGCTATTTCCTAAGCTCAAACAAGCAGCTTCCTTTTCCAGAGAATATGGAATTATACTATGGTCTCCTTAAATGTTCAGTAGCTCTTACGGTCACAACATTTTTAATCTCCCTATGGCATCTTTATGGAATAATTTTCTAAAGGGATAATTCTCTACTAAAAATATCAGACCCCGACCATATTTAATGTGGAGAGCAATACCCTCTTAGAAAGAAAATACATTGACTCATACACTTGTTAAAAGTTAATAAAGAAATAGCTCATTTTTAAAGCCAGAAGTTTACGGTCTCTGCATCGTCAATTTAATTTAAGCATTGCTGAGACAATCTTTAATCTACTCCCCTTTTTGTAAGACCTTATTTATGGTGCATTTTCATTTTTATTTGGGGGAAACGTTAGCCCAACAGAGCCGGCAGATGAAAGTGTTGAAAAGAGGTCAAATGGAAACAAAGGCTCTTACCCGCTGTATTTCAGACAGGACTGAGGCACTTAGCCGAGGAGCCACTGGGTTATTAGATTAATTTCAAAAGAGCTTTTACAAGTTGCTTAATTCCATTTATTTTCAAAAACCCATGAACCACAAACTCAAATTTCTCCTCAAATGGGGTTAATTTGACAAATGAGGCATGGACCCAGCTTTGTGCAAAAAGCATTCCACGCTAATGAGATCTTGGTCTTTCTTGTGAGTCTACGCTATTCATGTAAATATGTCTGGAGGCACCTTCTCTAAGCTTTTAGTTTTCTATGATCTATTAGTTTAGTGTTTATTAAAGAATCAAATGTATAGAATTACTAGGCATTCGGGGGGAGTGCTGTGCAGCAAATGTAAAACTGATCTCCTTGAAAGAAACGTAGGAACGCTTCAAACCCACTGTACTGTTTGGTTTGAGATTATTTTCATTGCTTTGAGAGTGAACTGCGTAAGAGTAGGCCTTATAATAAATGCTATGTGCGTCTTCAGTAGTACCAGGCTAAAGCAATTTGGCATTCTCCCACTGTGATTTGTGATTTTTAAACCCAGAAAATAAAAGCATTTTGGTATTGATTGTTTTTAATTAAAAATACTTCCAAGTATAAATTGAAACGGATGCCACCCTTGAAGATTTACTGGCGGGAATGCTCAGCTCTTGTCGTTTTCTTAGTATCGTTCATGTCTTTGGCAACAGGAACACCTAACAAAAGCAAGCAATGCTCAGTTCCCATCAACATTTCTAGTTAGGGGGATTCTCATAACCTCGCAGTTTACCTGAGAAAGCTTTCTGTGTTAGAAGAATGGAGTATTAACTTTTAGCTCAGTGTGGCCGGGCCTTTTGTTGCAGTCAAATGGCAAATACGCATTCCTTGAAATGGCTTCTTTTATTTTGTTTTGTTTTCTTCGACTTATAAATTTCAAAAGAATGCAATTTAAAAACTGATTTCTCACAAAGAGTAAATATGCCTTTTGCAAATCAATTTTTGTAACAAGTTATTTATATGATATTACTTAATAAACTGGTTTTTTTCTAACTTGTTTTTTTTTTCAATTCTCTCAAACCATTGTTTGTAATTACAGATTTTTTAAATATACATGCTGACATACTTTATCTTTCTGAACCTGCTGTTTTAACCTCTCAGAGAGCTAACAAAAGCTGACTTATTGTACAATAATTAGCTTGTAAACAATAGTTTTTCCCAGCCAGCAATATATATCATTGGCACTGCCCTGCACACTTCTTACTGCGGGGACATCAAGAATTCTACTATTATTTATGGAATTGCTTTATCGAGAAGAAAGCTGTTTATCTTCATGGTAATTGCTTTAGATTAAAAAAAAAAAAAAAAGGACAGTTCTATATTTTTGCCCCTCCCAAACCTCCATCCATTATTTCACTCCCATAAAAACAATTGTCTCTGGGTCTCTGATTTTTAAAAAAAAAAAAAAGATAAAACAGCAGTCAGATCTGAGGAACATAAAAATAAAACCCTTCCAGCATTCTGATACTATGAGTAAATAAAATGTGTTTAGCATATTTACAGCTGTAATATTTTACATGCATGCTCTTTTTTAAGCTGCCTTCTATTTCTACAGGGGCCATTTCATAATTTTTTTTAACTGTGAGAATTCATAGCTTTGCAAAGAAGATTTTCATTTATTCATTTGTTCCATATGTATTAGGCGCTCCACTGTGTGCCGCCAAATATTTGACAGTAAGTCAGATTGGTGTACTTTGCTTCCTCTCCAGAAGCTCGTGGTCTGGGAGAAAGAAATATGATAGGCTCATCACCACAGTACACACTAGAAGGTGCTGTGGAGACATCTCATGAGAGATACTGATGAAAGTGTCCTTAGGAGAGAGAAACTGTTTCTGCCCAGGTAGAGGGGTGTGGGGAAGGCTTAGGAATCAGTAGGATTGAGATAAAGTGAGATAAGAAATCAAAAAGAATAACAGGGGAAAGAGAAAAGAGATTTTAAGCCATGTCACTGGTCTCCGCTGACGTCCTTGAAAGGGACTAGTCTTGGAAACATCACATGACATCAGAACACAAGGATCACGAATGCCAAAGAAAATGACATTTGTTGTTTTGCTTTTGCTCTTGTTTTTGTTTTTGTTTTGCCATTTAAAGTTAACTTAGTCAGAAACAGAAACCCACAGAAGGGAATGATGCAATTAGAAATACACTTTTTGAAGAACATGTACATTGTCCAGTAGT